AGGCGACGTCGAATCGTTGCTTGTGCTCGATGGGCTATGCCTACACGGGTGGGTTGTAACGGTCGCGAGACCGCTTCAGAGACCCCTTTAACGTAAGGAATGGCCCACCAGCCTTCGGGCTGCTGCTTATTTGGCCGTTGTCCGGAGGGAAAAATCGATCAGCATGAAGCCGGCGAACACAGCTTGCCACTTTAAATTAAATTTCTGATCGATTAAGCGCATTTTACGCTTTGACAATGAAGAGTCGACCCAGTTCTTTGAAACGTCAGCACTTAAATAAACCTCTTCCGGAGAGCCTGTCTTCGTCTTCAAATAATCAACCCGGATATCTCAACTTCGCCAACCTGAGTAAAATGTACTGTTACGTTGTCACATTGGTGCAGTTAACGCACCACAGATTTTACGAAGTTGTCTGAATAGATTAGGGACAGCAACCATCCTCTCCTTACGTTAAAGGGGTCTCTGAGGCGGTCTCGCGACTGTTACAATCCACCAGAGTAGGCATAGCCCATCGACCACAAGCAACAATTCGACGTCGCCTAATGCAACCTAAGGACCCATTGCCACCCGCTGAAACCCCAGCAGTCATCTACAAAATAAATTGCAATGAGGGCGACTGGGCGGAAGTTGCAAACTCGGCTACAAGAACACAAATTGGCCACTCGGAGGTTAGAACCTAACTCTCAATTAGCAACACACGTTGCAGAAACGGGACATACTTTTGACCTCCAGAGGGCTACCATCTTAGGCCGAGGCAACATAAAAACAGAACGGCTAACTTTCGAAGCGTGGTTCTCGATGCCCACTCTATCAACAGACATATTGACCTTCCTGCAGCTTACAAAGTCCTACGTCATCACAATCGTAGAGCTCAGGACCAAACAACAACACCGGACTTAAAAAGGCCGCACGGAGATAGCCCGACGCTGAGTTTACTCGGTAAGGAATAAGAAGAAGAACCGCCAGATCGACCGCCCGACTAAAGTCCAATCAGTTCCCCTCGACGGAGTGGTGACTCACAAAGCACACAGGCAAAACGCCCGTCAACCATCTCCCGAGAGGCCGGGGCAGCGAGAGGAGGGAAAAATCGATCAGCATGAAGCCGGCCAACACAGCTTGCCACTTTAAATTAAATTTCTGATCGATTAAGCGCATTTTACGCTTTGACAATGAAGAGTCGACCCAGTTCTTTGAAACGTCAGCACTTAAATAAACCTCTTCCGGAGAGCCTGTCTTCGTCTTCAAATATCTCAACTTTGCCAACCTGAGTAAAATGTACTGTTACGTTGTCACATTGTGGCGGTAGTGGACTCAGCAGTATTGGCGGCATTTGTAAAAAAACGCATTTATGTGAGGTTCGTGTGTGAAAAAATGTTAGCCGGGGGTTATTCTGAGTGAAAAAATAAAATAGCAAGTTTTGAGTCTGGTGGGTTTGCTCCTGACGACATCGTGGCAGGAAAGCAGAAAAACAGTATTATATAAAGAAAAGCAGGATAATTTATTTGACCCAATTGAGATAAAGTCGGCGGCCTTGGGGGTACTTGAACCCAACAGCAAGGGCAAGGGCTTGAGTACAGCCGACGCTCTAATCACCTGAGAAAGACATCCGCAACGCAACAAGATGCACGCAATGAGAGCCGGAATATACGTAGAAAACTGCTGTAGATGAACTTTTGCCGAGTCTGCGTAGAAGACTGAGAGTTTTTGTTACTGACCAACCTCTAATTCTTACGTCGGATACGGATAGGATTATCACGACAAGTTGGTTGAATTATGGTGAGAGAGACGTACCCAGAAGTTATATGCAAATCATTCGATAACTATCCTCCCTATTAGCAAAAATACACTAGCACGACTGAAAATTGACTTGGACGCATTATTTGGCCAGGTATACAACTCACTCTACAGGCTCCACAAATTTTCCAGTTCTTCAACTAACATTAGCGAAAATAATCACCTTGGGTCTTACACCAGTGAGAGCTGTCACAGGGTTACAATGGGATGAAGCCATTTCAACGTCTGACTCTAAATCCGGAGACCCGAGTTATCCCATTAGTTTGCGTCCAGTGAAGCCACGATTGCTAGCCTATCGTTGTAATTCAGCGGATATGAGGCAAACTAGAGTGGCTGGCGTGTCACACAGGCATTTGCCCCGCTAGTTCCTCTACTTTGGGGGACCAACCGTAGACCTCAAAGCCTGTTGAAAGTTCAGTTTGACATCAGAGTGGAACTCTGCCTTGGAGTATCTCTTATAAGTGACGCAGACTTTTGTTCATTAGCCTATCGAAATTACTTATGATGATCTTGCTCTATCCTCTGGTCGACCCCCATCATTGCACCGAGTCGCTTTATTTACTTCAGGTCTCTGGCGACTCAGAATACCCCCCAGTTTGGTCCCAAACGTCTCAAGACAACCTCACCTGACCCCAGCTGTGCTGGTCTGCCGCCTCTCGAGACGCCTCACGCTTCGCATAAATTCACCACCGCTCGACCCAGGCCAGTGGATACGTCACATCACAGGCAATGCAAGTCAACACGAGAGTTCAGTTGTTGCAAACGAAGAGGACAACGTTCACCGTACGCCCCACAGCATATCGTGCACAGGACGATTACTTACTCGAACCTTAGTTTATGGCGAGGCAGATTTGCGTTGCATCCATCGCACTCCCTCCTCCCTCACCCACCTGGGTCCGGCGACAGGACTGAATCAAGATGACCGGAAGTGGGATCGAGTGCAATGGCTGAGAAAGACAAAAAGCCCGCTTTCGCTTGCCGCACATGACCGATTACTACTCCAGATATAGCAGGTTTCTGCAAGGATGGCTCGGAGCTCATTTCGGGGAGACTGCCATGAAGGCCAAATTGAGAAGTGGACTTGAAACCTGACCCTGAGGTCCCGAGAAGAAGCGGTTTTTCCCTAGAGTTGGCAACCCTCTAAGCCACAACTTTTGGTGTGCCGTGATAGATTCAAGCGCGTCGGATTCGCTATGATGAGGAATGCGCTAATGTACCTCGAGAACGGAGACCCCCGATGTCCGCCTCACTCCCTCTTTCTCCTCCCATGCAGCAGTCAACTGTTCGAGCCTGTCCACCAACTCATAACGGGATTGGATGCAGCAGTGGATGCGACGTAAAGGCCTGCGACAAAGACATATCCGCACGCCTGTATGACAGTAGCTACTAGTTCGCGCGGACGGCGGTATCCAATAAACGCTTGTCAAAAGCCAGTCCGATGCTGGCCTTGATTCGGTGCATATGCGCCTGACAGACTCGCCCATCTGTAGTAATCGCGGCCACGAAGAGATCACCACTTGGGTAAGCCATATTTCTCCCCTTGGTTTGCAATGGTTGCGGAAACGCTGCCGTACCTAAGGGGAAGTGCAGTGAGTGACCGATATCCTGAAGTACTAGCCGAAATTCTGATATGCGTTTTCGACTAGGAAAGACTACTTACGTGGTGCTGCACGACTGATTATCATGCGGCATAACCCTGTGATCTTTCGGACTCGCCAGGCCGTTCGCTTTTAAACGCACTTCCTTTCGACCTCTTGTAAGAACTGCACTCGTTAGAAATGACCGCCTAATTAGCATGCATTTTCCAAATTAATTTTTCGTGAGTTTATAAATCCAACTAAATTTTATAGAAGACGTGCACAACAGCATGCGTTCTTTTACTCGTTTGGTGACAAGTCACGTTGTATTCGCATTTTATACTTGAAGAAATTATATCTTCCGACTTTAAAAAGTTTTTAACAATGAGATTTTTTACGACCGGGCAATGTCCGCCCGTACAACCTCGTACCTGTTCGTTTATTAATGCCCCGTATAAAATATGCAAAATAGTCAGCATCCATTGAAAAAATTTAATCAACCCTGCATGGCATCTTTTTAAAGGCATAAAGGAATGTATGATTTTTCTTACGCGGAAAGTACACACCATGTGGAATTAAATTGCTAAACGCCAATGTAACGACTGATCTGACTGAAAATTATTTGGGGAACCGGAAGACCTTTCAAAACCTAGATACACCTTTTCTTCGAACATAAGATGTTGAGGAGACGTAAGAGGCTACCAAAGGAGCAAGAAAAGCGACGTGAAGATGCATAATGTTTGAGAAGTCATTTTTACCGAGTACAGTTTTTGCAGCAAGTCGAAGAGAAGTGCATTCAAAAGCCAACATTCTGGCGAGTCCGAAATATTATGGGATTATGCCGCGTGATAAGCAATACTACAACCCTACCTAAAAGTGTAAGAAAGTGTGTTTTGACCTTCAAGTTTGGAATTATTATATTTTAAGATACTTTGTGTGAACTAGGAAGTTCATTTAGGGGGACATAAATACACATGCGTCCCTACGTTAAAGAATGTTCCCTCTCCCACCTCCGGCCTCTTTATATCTTGACACCGAGCCCAGGTGGGGAGGGAGAGGGAGTGGGGTAGATGCTGCGCAAGTCTACTCTCACCATGAACTAATTCACGCGTAAGTCACCGTGCCTGTTTCACCTTGCTGTGGAGTACACGATGGACATGGTCGATTGTGACGCCCGAACCGTCATACTATGCATTTAAGAATCCTAATCGCATACGGAAGCACACAGTGTACTTTGAAATGCAGTAAGTGGTTGGAGGAGCACATACTTTAGTGATGAGGTGGTCATACGTAGAACGAAATCCCCACAAGAACACACTTCTTCGGTTACAGTGGCGTTCACTGGCAACAGGTAGACATCGTGGTATACTTTAGGGTAAGGGGATACAATACTTGAAGCACAGGGTATCAGTCAAAAGCCCATACTCGCGTGTTTCGCCGCCGTAACAGATGGACTTCGGCCCAAATATTCATGCATAGAAATCTCGGTCTGCGCCTATAGACCTAGAATATACTGATGTACTTCAAGTCTGCGGTAAATTTTTGGGGAAATCAAAAAGCAACAACACATACTGGTGTTGAAGGGCCGCCCATATGAGGTATGATTCCGACAAAGCTTACGTCTACAATCTACTTTTGTAGGGCATAGCCAGTCTCTTCGTCTGTGGCCTGTGAAGCATTTTCATTCCTGTCGACAACCCGGGCCTTAGTTGCATCATATAGCGCTTCGAGCTGATCAAACGACATTGGAACAAGGCAAAAAACACTTTTTTACTGTCGTAGAGGTTAGATTTTGGGGTTTTTAACTGTACAGATCAGTTCACTATAGACAACCTCGTGGTGTATGTGTCAACCAGGCATAGGACAATCAATCAAATTCTAGTGATCTGTACTTGTTCTTACTTTCCACAATTTTAGCCTTTTATTGCATTTTCCCTCCATACCGTTTGCATGATGGACATCAAATATGTGAGCAGTAATTACCTTTTTAAACTGCTGGTTTTTTAGGAAAAAGTATTTCTCCCCAAATATATCATAGTTTAGACTCCAAACTAAGTCCCCATTTCGGGAACGGTTGTTTCTTTAACGTAGTAAAATTTTCGGAGAGGAGTGGTGGATGATTTGAGTTTTTCAGTGATTTTTGCGCGAATTTCATGGCAGCTAGGTAACGATTTCTTTGGTACTATTGTCTACTCAAGCAACTGAAAACACGCCCACTCAAATCCCGCATTTTATTTTTGAGAAATTTCCTAGGATTATGCCCTCAGCTGACCATTATTTCTGCTCAAAAGAAGATCCCAAATTTTTGCCCCAATACTCTGCAGGATTCGACGCTAAGTATGATGCAGATTAATGACCGAATCCGGATGATTTTAACTTGAACTAACTGAAGCTGACGAATAAAGCTCTCCTACGACCTTAGACAAGAAAGCTTACACTTCCTTTCGGGAAATAATGAACTAACAACAGTCACTGTCCAGTTTGGAGAACGTGAATTATGGGACCTGAGATGATTACAAGGACTAAGAGTGCTTAACTAACCTCTTAATTACAAACTCCTGTATAAGGATCTGAGTGGATCGTATGAAGCATGTCGCCACGGATTACGATATTCACCATTTGTTCCCTCGACATGTTAGGCGCACGGCAGCGACTTGTGCAGCATCTGCCGCACTCTCTAACCCATCACCCAGATGGACCTGACTGCAAGATAGAGTCAGGATGACCGGTATGGGATCAACCCAATGACTGATGGAGTTAGACAGCCTATCAACGCGTGCCTCACACACAAACTTAATCTGTGCGCCGTAAACCGGGTTTTGACCGAAATACGGGGACGGTTTGAATCCCAGCTGGGTGGAAGTGCATAAAAGACCACCAGTTTCCCAGTCAGCCACTCCATGCACACAGGGCTGACCACGAGGACCTAGCTTTCCTGTCAAATGACAGGCACCTAGTCAACGTCTTTTCGCGCATCGCGCTGCTTTCAAAGCAGGTTAGATTTATTATAATGGGGAACGCATTGAAGTGCTGTGGAGATGGAGTCCCCGATGTCGTCCCCACTCCCCCATGCACCGGTTGAATTTCTGAGCCTGTCAGTCATCTGCTTCATGAAACAGGAGCAATGTAAAATGCATCACAAGTTCGGGAGTTAATAGGGGCAGTTTTATTGCATGTTCGCATTACAGAACCACCTTCATGCTAATGGTGGGACCCGTCTTTTTGTAAGCATCCCTTTCAAGGGAATTCCATGGGCCCACTTAGCAAACCACCACCTGATTGCGTGATTCAGAGCCGGAAAATAACAAAAGAGGATTATGGGAAGAGCAATCATATGGAGGTGGTGAAGTAGGATTGTGAGACGTTGTGCTGTGCCTCCAATTATATAACTTGCAGGGCTCACCGCACACACAAGGTAGTAGACGCTAACGAAGGCGCTGCTGATGAAGAAGCTGATAGACATTGGCAGCATGCAGGCAGAAGTCGTTTTCAAGCCGTGTTTCCCGTTGAATTGACGCAGAAGTTCGTCAGACGTCCCCGGAAAGGCAAGATTATTCAGGGTATCGAACTGCTGTTCGTAAGGGACCTGCAGGGCGTAGCGTATGACGTTGAAACAAGAGACGACTAGGATGAAGACATTCAGTAGGAAGTAGGCGCTAAAGATGAGGTAGATTTCTGCGTAGACGAACATGAGTTCTGTGAAGTCTTTCTTAGGCTGTCGACACTGACAGAAGCCATTGTCTATTTTAACTAAATATACTTTAGGAAAGGCCAGAAGTAGACCGAAAACAAAAAAAACGAAGATATAAACCAGTTCCGAAATTAGTGAGGTAGAGAATGAAAACTGGTATTTGCATACAATTTGCATCGATCGATTCGCAATGAAGAAGACGAGTGTTTCCGCGCCCGCAATTGTGAAAGTCCAGGACCAGAATCTGGTCTTCCAGATGAAGCATACAATCCAGTCGAAAATTTCATTTCCCGAGGACCAGGGGTGGAGATAGACGCTGTCCGCGAAGTCGGCAACAGTTACCATCACATTGGAGAGGGTGACAAAGCGCAACATTGTCAGACTCGTTCGGGTCTTGCCACGCAGCCGAAGAAGCATGCACAGTGCGAGCATATTGAGCCCCATTCCAACAAGTGCCAAGCCAATCTGCAGAGCATCAATGATGTCCGGCCGGTTGAGGCAGTCCAAACAGGTCCAAAATATTGTTGGTACCATGGGGGGCTAGTACAGGGCTTACCTTGTCCGCCTATCTACCGTTTGGTGACACATATATATATACTGATTACACATCTATCAGCAAGTTGCTTTTGTGGATGCTGAAGAGGACTACCGATGGGCGGATCCCACAACCAGGGCAAATGGTTCAATGGGGGACTTTTAAACCAGAAGCACACCGTACGCACACTGTGCATTTCTATTAGCTCATGTCTATCCTTTAATTTTCCTGTATCGCAGCTGACAAGAAAATAGGCATATAGTTCGGGGCAGAGGCTTTCAGTTTGGGGCCAGCCCTGTACACGGCGTCGTACAGGCTATTCCACAGGCTCCACTGTCAGCTAGTTTCCAATCATGTCTTTAGAACAGAGATAACAGCGCATGAACTCCCATTGCTGGTGGTACTTATGACAGTAATTAGAAGGCTGTAACTGGAGATAAGCACAGGTTTAACTCACTGACAGATTCCCCTCCCCTTTCTCCCCCCTCGCCATGGTTCTGACAGAACAAAACTACAATTAGCCTCTGTTTCTGACATGTCTGAATGTCCCAACTCCCTCAAAGCAGAACTACCGTTCATTGGCAGTTTTCAATTTTTACTGCACTACCGTAACTAATCTATGTAACTCTGCAGGCCTAATGATGAATGGTCAGAAAAACGGAGCATTTTGGTCTACTGGCTTATATAGAACAACAGACATTGTCTCAAGTGCATGCCATGGGAAATACCTGACCCACAGAGCCTGACAACTCAGATCTTGGGACAGGATAGAATACCCGACTTTAATTCGGAATTTCGGTGGTTCCCTTTCGTCCCAGGACACTTGTTCTCTAGTCGTCTGACTCTCATATTGCCCCCAGTCTGTTTTAGGAAAATGTCTCCAGTCATTCGAAAGTGCAAGCTAACTCAAACATTCAGAAACATTTGCAAAATGTTGTGGTACCTCTCAAATACGCACTGAAGCTAAGGCAGAACACTCTCCTGCAAGAACCCTCGAGTCAGAAAACAGCCATGAACACTTTATTGTAACGCCCAACCTGTTGTTTTGCCCTTGAAAACCATCAATAGTGCAAATATTGGTCCTTATTCCGACCTTGAAGACAAAAACACACATTTTTTCACTTTTTTAACTAGTGCCTTTTTTCTCACATTTTGGCTGTGAGAAACAAAGCATAAGATGAAACTCTTTTCCAAAATAGTCCACCAAAATCAGTTACTTTAGGTAAAACTACTTTTCTTCATATCCATGAAGAAAAGTTGGGTATTGTCCCCCACGCCTCATTCTGAAATTTTTTTTAGTGCTTGGTGCCTCCGAGTTCGATAAGTCGCATCGCTGGTTGAAATCGAAACCAGCACCTGACTACTGCACCTGATAGTTCTACTGTCGGTGCCGACGATGTCTACCGTGCGACTTGGAGTATTTTACAGTGAGGCAAACTGGCGTAACACCCACCGCATTGTATACTTTCTTAAGCATTTGGCTTTGGTGGAAAGACAGTGTGGGTGGTGGGCTCGTGCGCAATGACTGACAAGGATAGACAGTTCATCTACGCGTGCAACACACGGCCGAGTTCCCACAACGTTTACCAGCATCCTGCTGATGCGCCCGACAGTTTGGTGGTTGATTTCGATGGTGTCCACCGTGTGCCCAACGGCGTGGTGAGAGTGTGGCACAACCTTTCTCACCCTGGGAGTCGAGCTACCGACAAGCTGGTTTCTGACCGCTTCGTCTGGCCTGGGATGCACGAGGACCTGAAAGCATGGACACGGGCCTGTCTCGGCTGTGAGCGGAGTAAGGTCCAACGGCATAACAAGGACCCCATTGGCACCTTCCCCACTCCGGATGCACGGTTCAATCACGTCCACCTGGACATCGTAAGCCCCCTGCTTCTGTCCAATGGCTGATCATATTTCCTCACCTGTGTAGATCGATCCACCCGGCAGCCGGAAGCTAGCCCCTGCCTGATGTCGCTGTTTAACTACCAGGCTCACGTAATTCATAGATGTTTTGACAGATTTTGAATAATTCATACAGACCCAACTGGGAAAAACTCGGCGCCCCGGTCTTTTAGTAGAAAACCCAAACTGATACAAAAATGTGGTCTGGGACAACTACAACCGTGGGGAATTTCTCGAATAATAAGTAGCATGGGTCGCGGTTCAAAACAGTAGACTCTTCTTCGATTCCACATGAAAGAAGGACTTTTTCCAAAGCAAGTTAGGCAAATAAATAGGTGTGAAACGATTAAGGTGTCCCAAAACTGTCGTATAGATTTGGCCACCAGGTTGCATGAATTGCATCAACTGCTGTATGCGTCTCGAGTCAAAATTCGAAATCCTACTTTCGAATACGCCAGAGACAGTATGTCCCTACGGCGCAATTTTCTCAAAACTGCCCTTTTTGCCTGCGTAAGGCTTAGAAGAACAATAAAATAAAGAAAAGTGGGTATTACGGGCAGGTGCATACCGCGTCAGGTCGGGAGCCGTGCTCGGTGGCTACTGTCGAACACTGTCACTGATGCTTGTGAAAACGGCACCAGCAACATCAGCCCCAAATAATGTTATCCCATACTAACTCGCTCATAAGTGAACTGAATTTCCTACTAAGTCTTGAGTCTTTTTAGTACCGAACCGTGTAAATATAGCCATACGTCATTTGATTAACAGCTGTGACGCAACAGTATAAGTAAAGTCCCATTATGCTGTCGTATAAAGTTACCACTTGTTATTTTCTGCTGGTGTATACCGTACGATGCCAACAAACGAAAAAGTAAAGTTAACATACTTCCTGCGGCCTGTGGGCCATTAGGAGAGACGACACTTGGTGTCGGATGAGGCTCTTAGTCTCCTCCGTTGCCTCCGTCTGACTAAAGACTGATTCCACTGCTGCAATCATGTTAACAGGTTTTGAGTTAGCCGTGTTGAATGAAGCTTCGTGCCGTAAAACCTGCATCTGATCCTTTGTCAGCTCCTTTAACAGCAGATTGTGCACCAGTTTGAAGTTTCTGGGCGACGTTGGATTGGGTAGCTTTCGGAATTAGTTCTCTACTGCTGCGTCGCGTATCACTCTCTGTTCGGGGGCTTGCTCAGCCACCCTCTGTAGGAGCAGATTTGTACCGATCTCGCCCACGAACTCACAGCATCTGGTCTTTTCTTGGTCAATCCTTTGACGGAACCTGCGAAGTCTCGCGTGGCAATCTTGTAGGAGCACTCGGATCATCCTTCTGCCATGCTGAAATACTGTTCGTCTTGTCAAATCCATGTTAACCGGTGGCTTGTATGAAACACATTTCGGTAACACATTATTGTCGAGACACCTGTGAAGAAACCGGATCTGCGAATACGTGGAGGCCTCCCGAAGGGCAAGGTTTCCCATCGCCGGGCCCATCGGAGCGCATCGCGCCCAAATACATTGCCAATAGAAGCGAAGAGACAAGTCCCAGGAAGCAGTCTTGAAGAAGGAGACACGACCGCTGGGACAAGTGCTTTATTAGTCTGATGTATCGGATTCCTGATCGAACCCATTATCAGAGGCAAAAGCAGATGTCTCTGATGATGGGTTCTTCAAGGTTAAAATACTGTCAAATATAGCCTTTTCAGAGTAGACAGCCAAATGTCGATTAGAATGCTGCAGTCCAAGGAAATAAATATGTTGTGAATAATGCGGAGATTATTATTTTCGGAGCCGATAACCAAATGCAGACGTCTACTCAACGAAATATGTAGCATATTTTAGTGCAAGGTGCTACCGTATTAACAGCACAGGTACTAGCCAAAAGCCCATACACGAGTGTTTCGCCGATATTCTGCCGCTTCATGGCGCAGCTGTGAGGGGTTCGGCTCGTCAGTGTGCCCCCCAGCAATCCCTGTCTCCTGTTTGGTAGCAACCATGTAAATATAGATTACACGGGAGAACATTTATATTTTAGCCCTGTCGTGTTCCCTATAAAAACAAAAGGTTAGAGTGAACTTTCCTTACAAGCCAGTCAGAAAAGTCTTTTTTTATTAGAAGAGACTCCAAAAGACAGCCTCCTTTAATTCTGGGTAATGACAGCCACGCCTGTTGACTATGCCTGACAGTCGCCTTCTGCCGTGCAATTTCGCTCTTGATCAAAGTTTCCAGGTTTCTTTCCTACATGCGTTGTTGACGATAGCAGGAACGCTGACTTATTGGCCCTGCTATGCAGTCTGCTGTCGCTAACGGACGAAAAGCCAAAGAGACCACCAGCGACTAAACATTTCGACTCTACTGTGAAATCATCACAAAGCAGGAGAGATGTGGAAGAGTGAACGCACTACTTACCATGACGATCCACCCAGCAGGGGAGATCAAGTCTGTTTATTAACGTGGGAATATGAATCTCCACCCCGTATTACAGGCGGGCACGCCCTGAATTCCAAGGCGTAGATTTAGGAAGGTTAGGCTTAGGGTCAGAGTCAGAGTTAGGACACAGGAGTGGGTAAA